GCAGAGCGATATGCTTGGAAATGGGAAAGATCACAGTTAAGTCCCACAAACAAGACGTGTGAGAAGGAGAGACCGAATACAGTTAATAGAGATGAAGCTGGAGTGGGTTCTCGGGTCCGGGGTCTGAATCGTGATCACACCAGGTCCAAAAAAAAATAGCGCAACAAGACCGCGACGGTATGTTTAATGGAACCCATTTCTTTGAGGGCGACATCTGACAGAACAGCTTCACCCATTTGCAGCAAGACCTACAGGTCTACCAAAAGAGACACGAACAAGTGAATACATGTCAATTGCAAACCCGTCGGAAACCAGGCACCGTCCACGAGATGAATCAGGAAGAATGCGCCTCAGCAGGACGAAGCGTGTGAATGCAACGGCAAACACAATGAAGACAAAACCATAAACCAATGACATGCCTCCTCAACCACAACCCTTGATGGCGAGAGCGAAAGAAACAGAAAGCACCCTATCTGTGGCCAAAACCTAGCATAAGAAGTTACGAGTACTTTCCAGACACAGGTGTGGTTCACCAAAGCAAGAATCCTAAATCGAAGATTCATCATTGGTGACCTTTCTTCGAGTGATCCCCACCATGAATGTCATACAGATTTTGACATTCTTTCTGGCAAAACTTTCTGGCAGGGAAGAGGAGGAGAGGACAACTCTGATGAAATCTAAAGACCTTCGGTCTCTAGATTTCATGAGAGTTGCCCTCTCCTCCTCTTCCTCTTGGCATTCTATCTGGCATTTTCTCTGACATATGCTCTGCCATTCTATCTGACATATGTTCTGACATTCTATCTGACATGCTTTCTGGCATTCTATCTGGCGTTCTTTCTGGCATTCTATCTGACATTCTATCTGGCATTCTATCTGGCATTCTATCTGGCATGCAGTCTGGCATTCTATCTGGCATTCTTTCTGACATTCTTTCTGCCATTCTATCTGGCATTCTTTCTGGGATTCTATCTGACATTCTATCTGGCATTCTATCTGGCATTCTTTCTGGCATACTATCTGGTATTCTATCTGGAAATCTATCTGGCATTCTATCTGACATTCTATTTGGAATTCTATCTGGCATTCTTTCTGGCATTCTTTCTGGCATTCTATCTGGCATTCTATCTTGCATTCTATCTTGCATTCTATCTGACATTCTATCTGACATTCTATCTGGCCTTGAGATCCGGCAGTGCCGACTGGGATGTGGAGCTCGCCGTTCAGGCCGGGTAGTGCCCACTGAGATCGAGAGCTCGCGGTTGAGGTCCGGCGTTGTTGACTGGGATCGGGAGCTCGCTGTTGAGGTCCGGCAGTGCCCACTGGGATCTGGAGCTCGCGGTTGAGGTCCGGCGTTGCCCACTGGGATCTGGAGCTCGCCGTTGTGGTCCGGCGTTGCCCACTGGGATCTGGAGCTCGCCGTTGAGGTCCGGCAGTGCCCACTGGGATCCGGACCTCGCTATTGAGGTCCGGCGTTGCCCATTGGGATCAGGAGCTCGCGGTTGAGCCCGGCGTTTCTCACTGGGATCGGGAGCTCGCCGTTGAGGTCTGGCAGTGCCCACTGGGATCTTGAGCTGGCAGATGGGAGGCAGCGGGAGGTTTTCCACCCCCCCTCCGTCCCCCCCGCGCAGCCATGGTAAAATCTAGTAACCCTCACCTGGCAGGTGGAGAAATAAGTCCAACGTTTCCGGTCATGGCAACAGGCCACATAAACTGAGAAAAGCCAAAAAAGAAATCAGAAGACTATCTTCCAGAACGAAAATATTGACAACAATCAGGTACACATGAAACCGTTACTTCTGATCTCACACACAATCCAAAGCACCTTTTTGAAACAAGGCTTCGCGATGTCGTCCCCTTCTTGCAGTCATCCTGCGGCAATGGCCTCGCAGAGCGACATGCTTGGAAATGGGAAAGATCACAGTTAAGTCCCACAAACAAGACGTGTGAGAAGGAGAGACCGAATACAGTTAATAGAGATGAAGCTGGAGTGGGTTCTCGGGTCCGGGGTCTGAATCGTGATCACACCAGGTCCAAAAAAAAATAGCGCAACAAGACCGCGACGGTATGTTTAATGGAACCCATTTCTTTGAGGGCGACATCTGACAGAACAGCTTCACCCATTTGCAGCAAGACCTACAGGTCTACCAAAAGAGACACGAACAAGTGAATACATGTCAATTGCAAACCCGTCGGAAACCAGGCACCGTCCACGAGATGAATCAGGAAGAATGCGCCTCAGCAGGACGAAGCGTGTGAATGCAACGGCAAACACAATGAAGACAAAACCATAAACCAATGACATGCCTCCTCAACCACAACCCTTGATGGCGAGAGCGAAAGAAACAGAAAGCCCCCTATCTGTGGCCAAACCTAGCATAAGAAGTTACGAGTACTTTCCAGACACAGGTGTGGTTCACCAAAGCAAGAATCCTAAATCGAAGAAGGTAGATCCAAACAGGTAAAAGCCAAGGATCAAACAACACACAGACTTGTATGAGTACGCAGCACACAAGCATGGTGTGCAAAAGTTATGACCATGGCATTCATATCTTGTGTATTGCGTGGGTACCCGTCGCAACCAAGGCACTTTCCCAAGAGTTCTGAGAGCACAGAGGAGCTGACAGACAGCGTTAGCGCAGACCCGTCGCAACAAAAATCCATGGACAGCGCTGCGAAAACACAACTATGCAGCAACTTCGAAAAAAACACTGCGGCGAGAACCAGCACCTTTCTGCAGCAAAGACAAAAAAACGTCCTTTTCAAAAAGGACCAAGCAAAAGACTATATAATTACATATATATATATGTGTGTGTATGGCACGTCGTCCTGCCACGTCATTTCTGGAATATCTTTGTGTCATCGGTTTCTGGCAGGAAAGAGGATGAGAAAACAAAGGTTTCTAGACTTCATCCGAGTTGTCTATATACGACTATGTATACGACTACATATACAACTATGTACTCTACCAAAGAAAGTCCGATATAGACGACTATACGACCAGTACTACCGCACAAGACGATGACGGAAATTTAAAGATAGGAACCTTTTGGAGAGGTTGGTTGCTGTGAAGGATAGATGGCAGAGCGAGCCAACTGATGGACCGACAAGTGGTTGGAGGCAGCGCAGTGTAGTTAGTTCTAATGTAATGTAGTTGTAGTTGTGCTTGCCGTTGTAGCTGTAGAATGTTGTAGATGTAGTTGTGGTTGTAACAGTAATGTAGCTGTAGTTGTAGTGAAAGTGCAGTGCAGTGTAGTGTAGTGTTAGTTGTAGTTTGCCCGTTCCAGTTGCCCGTTCCGGTTGCCCGGTTGGCCGGCTGACCGTGGCCCGGTTGCCCGTTCCGGTTGCCCGTACTACTACTAGTACTAGTACTACTACTGCGACTCCTACTACAACAAGTAGTACTAGCACTAGTACTAGTACTAGCACTAGTACCACTAGTACTACTAGTACTACTAGCACTACTAGTACTACTGCTACTACTACTACTACCACCACCACCACTACCACTACCACCACTACCACCACTACCACCACTACTACCACTACCACTACCACTACCACTACCACTACCACTACCACTACCACTACCACTACCACTACCACTACCACTACCACTACCACTACCACTACTACTACTACTACTACTACTACTACTGGTACTGGTACTGGTACTGGTACTGGTACTGGTACTGGTACTGGTACTGGTACTGGTACTGGTACTCGTACTAGTACTACTAGTACTACTACTACTACTACTACTACTACTACTACTACTACTACTTGAACCGTGGAACCGTGTGCCACGGTTCGGGCTCCACGGTTTCACAATTGAACCGTGCAACCGTGGGCCACGGTTTGGGCTCCACGGTTCGGGCTCCACGGTTTCACAGTTGAACCGTGGAACCGTACGCCCGTCCGCCACGGTTCAACCGTGGAACCGTACGCCGCGGTTCGGGCTCCACGGTTGAACCGTGGAACCGTGTGTCACGGTTCGGGTTCCACGGTTCCACGGTTGAACCGTGGAAACGTGGGCCACGGTTCGAGCTCCACGGTTTCACGGTTTCCACGGTTGAGTTCCACGGTTCACGGTTGGAGAGTGCCCGGCTCCGCCCTTCTCTGCTTTTCATGCTTTTGCTTTTTTCTTGGATGTGCGTTTGGGCTGCCATCAAATATTAGCTGCAGAAACCAGGACATAGAAATAAGGATGAACATCATACATGTGTCAATACAATGACTGCCGCACAAGTTAAATTCGGCAATTTGTGGAGGGGACCCTTCTTTGAACTTCAAATTGCCTTTTTTAGTAAAGAAAGTTGTCAAAAACTGGTCCGTTTGGGAAACTATGTTTTTCTCAAATCCTGATCTAAAAGTTATTGACATATTACTTTTTTGTTTAAGGGTGTTTGCGTGTAATTTCTTCTCTTCCTCCTCATGCTTTTTCTGCTTTTGCTTTTTTCTTGGATATGTGTTTTGTGTTGGGGCTGGTGAGCGTTGTTGTTGTCGTTTGGTGTTTGGGCTGCCACTACTACGACGGCGACTACTACGACTAGTACTACTACTACTACGCTGCTGCTGCTGCTGCTGCTGCTACTGCTACTGCTACTGCTGCTGCTACTGCTACTTCTACTGCTACAACAACTATACTACTACGACTAGTACTAGTACTACTAGTACTACTAGTACTACTAGTACTACTACTACTACTACTACTACTACTACTGGCCGGTCAGCCGGCCGGTCAGCCGGCCAGCCGGTTGGCCGGTCGGTCAACCGGTTGGCCGGCCGGCCAGCCGGTTGGCCGGTCGGTCGGCGGTTGGCCGGTCAGCCGGTCGGCCGGTCGGCCAACCGGGCCGGTTGGTCGGCCGGCCGGTCAGCCGGCCGCCCGGTTGGCCGGTCGGTCAGCCGGTTGGCCGGTCGGTCGGCGGTTGGCCGGTCAGCCGGTTGGCCGGTCGGCCAACCGGGCCCGGTCAACCGGGCCGGTCAGCCCGGTTGCCCGGTCACCGGTCAAAACCCCCCTGGTACCGCCCTTCTGGAACTAAGTTATCCCTGGGTTGAGGATTATCCTTAGGGTTATTCGTATTGGGCTCATTTTGGCAGTCCTGGCTGCTGCATGCTGGCGCTTCGGCAATCTCGACGTCCTCTACCGGGTAGAGAGGCAGAATCAAATGGCCATTGGCTGCTTGCTGGAGTGGCTGCGATTGCATCCCATGTTTCTCGCTGGTGATGGTCATGCGACCCAGGTCCAGGGAGGCACCCATTCCCTCTAGCACACGTCTTGAGAGCAGAAATGGTGTTTGACCGGGAACCAGGTATGTAGTAATGCAACCATGCAAATTCCCCAAGCGAACAGTCCATTTCAAACCTTTGTTGGTAGTTTCTTTTCGACCATTGAAACCCTTCAGTTCAACAGGCGGCAATTCGACACCTTGAGGAGGAGGATAACCACTTTGCTGGAATAGATCCCGATATGCAGTTGCAGTATCTTCCCCAACAACAGACGTAGTAAACCAGTGTCCAAAATTGCATAACCAGTGGGTATGGAGGCCAACAAAATCTCTTGTTCATCATCCCCCAATACAAACTGATCTTCAACCATGTAGCTGAACTCGGTGAGAACCTCGGTGACTGCCAGATTTGCATCTTCTTTTCGTGGATTTTGTTGCTTCTGAGACTTTCCATCCCCTTTTCGTTTTACCATCTGTTTTTGATCATACTTGAATGACTTCTGGCTTGGTGCTGCACTGCTGGATGCAGCTGCTTGTTCAGGAGTCATTGCAACCACAGGGAAATATGGAGTCCCAGATCGTGACTTTTTGATCTCTTTCACCCTTTTCTTGCTTTCCTTGTATGTTCGAAAACTCTTTTTGAAATCCCGTTTTGCCTTTTTCTGCATCTCATAAATCTCTTGCAACTCTTCATCAGATCCATCACCAGATTTTTCTCCCGTCTCACCCAGCATGGCCTCTTCACCTGATTCAGTGCTTGACATTGGCGCTTCAATAGAAGAGCTCGCATCATCGTCATTCACCTGCACGGCATAGGCATCACGACGCTGAGATTTGAAAGGAACTTGATGACGTTTTGGGTCTCTTCGATGATTGTCCTCAATGTCCTAAGAATCCGTTCCACATCCAAAAAACGTGAGGATCCACCTGTAGCTCTGATCACTTGTGACCGTTGTTCTTTTGATAAACCATATTTTCTCATATACAGGTGTCCCAGTACAGATGGAGGAAAGATAGGCTTTGGCTTTCTATGAGAACGTTCAATCGAACCCAGAATCTGTTGCATCTCCAACTGTTGCTTCTCCATATCGGCTTGCCAAGTGCCAGACGAGAGCTGACGCTTCGACTTGCGACCACTTGATCCACTGTGCACGGACTTGTATGAACCCTGCTGTGACGGTGGATGAGACGTCCTTGAAGGAGGTCTCGAGGCAGTTTTTGGCTGAGCTGGAGGTTGCGATGGCTGTGCATCGCTGGCAGGAGCCTCAGCAGCTTGCTCAGGCTGAGTTGCTGGTTCAGCATCATCTGTTTCATCTGCTGGCTCATCACCAGCACCACCAGTCTCGGATTCTGAAGACTCGGCCAAAGAACTTGGCACAGGCGATGCGGGACCAGGGAAATCATGCTTTCGTTTGCGGCCATCTCTCTTCTCTTTTGCTATGTCACGCTCTTGTGCAATCAGTGTTTCCAGTCTCGACAGTTGTGTCCGGAATCGAGATGAGAAAGCAGTTGCACCTTCATTCGGACGGCGTGACAGCTTGAACATGAACTCATCGATGGCCTCATGCAACTCTACTTCAGGCAGGTATCTATAGTGTTGATCCAGACATTCCAACACCTTGATCCAACCCTTTTTCAGTCGCTCTTCCGAGATTGGCAAATGTTCCGTACATCGCCAAGCTTCACCTGTGAGGCGGCTGAGGAGTTTTGGTCCAACAAGATGTTGATTTTTGTACTCCACAGCTGCAGCTGACAGGATCACCTTCCGTCTTCCGTCTAAATTCACGATATCCACCAGGCTGACCATCGAAGGTGATGTCTCGGAAAGGATCTTTGTTGTCACCCATTGCAAACTATATTGCACCACCAATTGTATTGCACCAATCCAAAAAAGTGATTTCCGGTTAAATGCAACACCCAACAAGCCAGGATAGGCTATGTTAACCGCGGGTGCAGTGAAGCACCTCTTCCGGTTCCAAAGGAGCGTAGCTGGAGCTTAACGCTCCGCTACCATGATGAAATCACGGAACGGATGATCGCGCAACAGCGCCACTGTTTCTTCCACAGGCGCACGAAAGTAGCACTGACCTCCTTAGGTCAGGCTCAAGGGCCCTGATAGTGGAGCCAAAGGTGCAATCGGTAGATGCAGTCGATCTCACAAGGAACCACCTGAGGATAAATGGGACATGGCTATGTCCTTCCATGTTATATCCATCATTCCAAACATGCTTGCATGACAGTGGTTTTCACAATAACAATCAAGGGGGAGATTCCAAGGTTATTTATTCCCATGGGAGATCATACCTGGGGTCTGGATTTTGAACTTTGAAATCTTTGCATATGATGTGCTTGGTGATGAAATATGATGAACACCTGCGAGAAGCGAACAAGGTTCTTTGTCGGATCCCTAAAGGATCCGAACACAAATTCAAAGTTGAAGGTGTTAGCCAACATCAAAATTGATAGAATTTGACAGACACCAATTCTCAAAATCTATAATCTATTCATAGACCGTAGCTATATCCTATCGGATAGTTCGTACTCCAACCCTGACTGATCCCATTCCCTGAATATTAAACATTCCATTCTATGGTCCGAAAAATGTCTTTTTGTCCCCTACATGTTACCATGGTTTCTGGGGGGATTGGACTATCACCGTTGTATCAGTTGCATCCCCCATGATATTTCCCATTATTCATGGATCATATCCCATTAATATCACATTAATAAATGCATATCCCACTATTGACCGTTAATAGCAATCCGAATCAACATCATTGATGGTCAATATCCCATTATTGATGCTTAATTAAGTATTGATCATTGATCCCACTCATATCATCATTTTGAAGGTTACCATTCTAAATCATCAATTTTAGATTGGGATTTTCCATCATAAGCCATCCATTTGTGGAACCCCCTATAAAAATCCACTGATAGCTGCAGCACTTTCGCTTGTGCTCCGGACCATTGAAGCTGGCAGCAAAGGACGTCCGAATGGTGCAGGCACCTCGAGTCTGGAGGGTTGGAGTCCCGGGTTTCCATAGCTTGTCGCTATGGAAAATCACCAAATTAAATAGGGAAATCAACTATTTCAATCGGGTCCATTTTCAAGTTCGCAAATTGTAAACTTTTACCAGGCCGGGTACATCGAACTGAAAGCTCCGAAAAAATATTCCAAATATCTCCAACTGCTTGAAGAATGACTCTGAAAAAAACCATGTCTGAACACGTTGGAAACACAATGGTTGTGTTTACACCCTAAAATCGGCTGTATCATCATTTTCCCAACAAGATCTGATGAGTTTCTCGACATTCTCCGATGATTTTTCCAAGATTATCTGGTGGATTTTCCCAGGATTTCACCACTTATTTCATGATTTTCCCAGGAATTCCCAACCTTTCCGCATCCACCCGGCTTTTTTTTCATCGCTCAGGCGCTGGAATTTTGATGGGAGCTCCTCCGAAGGGGGATGGAACCGTCACGGCCGGCGAGCCGGCAACCTGGATTCAATGTTCAATGCAGAAATTGTGATGAAGATGTCGACAAAATGTGTACATGCAACCATGGGAAATGGAAGATTTTGGTTGATTTTGCTCCAATATCATCTAATATAATCTGATATAATCTAATATAATCTAATATAATCAATATACATATATTGATCACAGTGGAGAAGTATCTGTTGCCCTGAATGATCAGGTTCTATCCATCTGGGACATTGAGGCTCTGACTCCGAGCACAGGTCCACCAACCTGCAATGGTGGGGAATCTTGGAGAATTAGACATGCTATTCCTGTTGGGTATGACATGTTTCATAATAATTCATAATAATTCATAATATGTCTCCAAATTTCGGTGATTAACCACATATTTTTTCAATGTTTAATCTGGAAATATGTGTTAATTCAAAACACACAGATTTTTTTAATGATTTATGGGGACCTGTTTTTGGAAATATGTGATCAACTTATTGAAGCTGAGGTCGAGTCCAGCGGAGATCGCATAGAATTGGCCTCGTGTTCCAAAGGCCCCACTCGACTGAACATGAAAAATCAAGTGTTCCAATGTTCCACACATTGTGAACATTTATCAAAAGTTGAAGTTTGAATGGTATTGAAATGCATTTATAATTGGTAAAACTAGAGACATCAGATACTTGAAGTGCTGCATGTTTATGGGTCTCGTCTGGTTCCATCGATCAATCTGGATGGCTGCACATCACTGCCCTGAGGCTTGCTCCGCTCCAGGACGTCTCACAGAAGCCACGGGAACCTTGCGACCATGGGATGAGGACCATGTGCCAAGAGGGAAAATTGCAGTGCTGAGGTAACAGAAAAGAGATGATGTTGGGATGATGTTGGGAGAAGGTTTAAGCAGAAAGAGATGATCAAATTTCAATCACAAATACTCAATACTCAGAAGAGACATAGAACTCAGAACATCTCAGGCAGGCCTCAAGTTGTTCTGAATCCGTCAGCACCGTGATTTTCTCTCCATCTGCCGAATATGCCAAGGCCGTGCCGATGGTCCAACTTCCGTTGTGCAGAAATTGGACGTCGCTGCCCACTTCAATGCTCTTCACTTCACGCGGCTGTGGTATGTGTGGTGTTTCTTTGGCCATGAGTGCTGCGGCTGCTTTGGCTGCAGCTTCTGACACGTCCAAACTTGGTGACTGAGCTGATGGCAGTGACAACGGCTGGACTTCACTGAGTCTCGGCGCATCTCCATGTGAGAACTTGCATCGCTCACGTTGACATGCTCCGCGCTT